GAGCCACTCTATACAGTGGGCTCGTCACAAATTGACACCCTTCATCCATCATCCCCAAAAGTTCTGTACGTTTTTTCTAAGCTTTCATGCATGTGTCCTTCACTGCGTGTGACTCAAAAATTATGTGTGCCTGTTAAAAATAGAGTTGAAGGGGACGCTCTGTTCTTGTTATTCAGACGTAGTTCTGTCTTTCGATAATCATATCGTGAAGATAAGCAGCCTATAGAAATGGTGGTTACGGAGAGACCGAGCACGAAAAAAATTAAATTAAAAAAATTAAATTTAGACGAACATCAAGAGCTAGCAATGTTATAGCTTGCACTTGATAGATTGAGTAGTCGGGTGTAAGTACACGTGCATGTGACTCTGTGGAGACAACATTTTATGGATAATAATTAGCAGTCAAAACTTGGAGAGTCTAATAGTACAGCAATGTAACGTCATTAGTTATATCATCCTTTCAAATTTATGCACGAGATCTAGAGATATAAATAGGTAAGAGTTTCTTTTGATATGATCGATATTGGCAATTGAGGATATATGAGTTTGGTGACTAGTTTAGTACTTTTGTTGATGAGTGTAAACAAAGTTGCGGTAGAGTGCGTATAAGCCAAAATGTTGCAGGCCAGCTTCATGAGTATGTATATACTGCAGCTGAGGATACAAATTGGAGGATATTCATCTTGAAATCAACGGCAAAAATTTTTAAAATGTTATCAAGTCACCGTCAAGACATTGTAACATCTATCTAATTTATTTCATTTGGATGGTAACATTGACATTCAAATAAGAACAACCACTAACCTCCAAAAAAAGAAAAAAACACTAATATATGTTCATATATCTTCACTTGAATGCGAATCTTCCTTAAGTTAGAGATAATAAAATTTTGAGCTCAACCAACCATGGAAACTCATCAAGAGAAGATTTATGTTGCTCTGGGGAAAAATATTGAAGAAGAGTTGGTGACATTGAGGTGGGCTCTTAATCACTGGAGTTCTCAGTCAGTCTCCTTTGTTATTCTTCATATTAACACTAGTTCAAGGGATTTTGTTCAAACTCCATGTAAGCCTACTAATCATGAAATCTTATAGATAATTTATGAATGAAAATTTAGTTTTTTAGACTAATAATATTAGATGAATTTAGTTGGAAAGCTTCCGGCTAGTTCAGTGAATGAAGAGATGTTGGAGGCTTTCAGAGCTCAAGAGCATGAGAGAGTTAAAAAGATATTGAATAAGTACATGGCTTTATGCATTAGGGTACGCAAAAAATTCCTTGATGTAATATTTATAATCAGAAATTAGGACCAATCTGATTTTCTAGTCCTTGACATTTTTGAGCTTGTGCAGGTGAAAGCGGAAGTTCTGGAAGTTAATATATCCAAAGAACCTGTTCCTAAGATTCTTGTTGGTCTGATTTCAAGTCACGGGATCAAGAAATTGGTCATGGGATTTAAAAGCATGAAATCATCATCATGGTAAACAAAATGGTTTTATCAAATAAAAGGTTAATTTGAAAATGATGATTTAGAAGAATTTTTTTCATGAAGATAACTAGAGATTATTTTTTCATATCTGATGTCCTAAGAAAAATTTACTGAACTGTGCAGACAGTAGGTTTAGTGAGGCAACAAACCGAAACAAAGTCTAAGTTCTACAATAAAAGAAGTAAACATGATACAAAAAAATTAAGTGAAAAGTTCAATACTCTGACTGAAATAATTATTTCACACAATATAACTGGTACATTTTTCTAATTTGTATGCAGGAAAGCAAAATGTGACACCAATAGTTCTTGCTATGTTCAGAAGCACAAGCCAGACTTCTGTGAACTATTCACAGTATACGAAGGAAAACTAGTCATATTTAAAGAAGAAAATGCTGACGAGGGAGGTTACCTCATAGATGAATGTGGAACTATGGTTGCTGATTTTAGGAAGAAACCAAAGGAAAAGGGAAACTTAAGAGGGTGGTTTAGTCGAAAATTTACAGATAATGTACCGAGCAATGAAGATGATCAGAGATCTCCTCATCATGTAGTTTCAAATTCTGCTACCAGTATTGTACATGAAGTAGTAAGAGATAAATGGGAAGAAAATGTTGAAGAGATCGATAGATATGTACAATTCATGTTAGATTCAAATTCACAAGAACTGGAGCAAAGAGATGAGACTCGTGATGAGCTTGAGGTCACAAAGACTAACAAGGCAAGTGTGAAAATTAATCACATAAAACTTTATATTTTTAAAATTTGGCTATCTAATATTAGGAAGGCCGTTTTGTTTTATGTTGCCTTTTTTTTGGAAGCATTTCCAGAATTATCTGAGCAGAAATGAAGTCCTGAGAGCAGTTGAACAAACTGAGAAGATTCTGGAGCAGAAGAGAAATGAAGCAAAAGCTGATGCGGAAATACGAAGAAAATCCGATAGAATATTTTCTCTATGCAATCAAAGGGTAAGGGGAAAAAAAAATAAAAAAGTCAGTATAACTACAAAACTAAGCCTCTCAAGCTCAACCTTTTACAAGATTTCTTCTATTTTACTTGCAAACTGAGTAAACCCACAAAGGAAAAATTAAAGACAATTCTAAAGCAAACATTAATAAAACTTGTACGTTTGTAAAGTAGATGAAAGTTATACAAATAACTCTAAAAATATCTTTTATTCCAGACAGAGGAAATAGAAGCAAAGTTGAGAGAAGATCGTACCAAGCAAAACAATCTGACGCAAGAGCTAAACACAGTAAGAAGTCAGCGACATGAAATATTTGGTAACATCACAGAGAGCAAGAACAAACTGAAATCAGAGCTTGACCATCAAAGAGAGTTCATGATCAACCTCCAAGCCTACTCATTGAAGAAATCAGACCTCGAGTCTGCATTAGCAATGATAGAGACTGAGAAAAATGAAATATTAGGAAAAGTTGAAGAAACTCGTCGACAAAGAGAATTTGTGAAAAGGAGGAATGAGTATTACAGGATAAGGGAGGAGATGGGAAAATCGTTCAGATATAGGGAATTTAATGAAGAGGAGATAAGAAACGCAACTGATGATTTTGCAACGAAAATGGCGATTTCTGCAGACTTAGAAGGTGTAATCTATAGAGGAAGAATTGATCGTATCGATGTTGTGGTTCAATTCAAGACTGTATTCCTGGATTCATTAGAGGAGTTCCAAGCTCAGGTATGCCCTGAACTTCTTTATTCTTTCCAATTCCTTCAAATATATATATGTGCTTATATTCACATATAAATTCCAGACAGCACTGAACCATGAAGTAATTTTGCTGAAATACATCATTCAGGTTATAATTTCTTGATATCTTTTGTGACACAATGTCCTGTGAAGCAAACACATCCCTTGCCTAGTCCTTGAAGGCAAGGATTTAGTCCATTTAAACAATTGAAATGGGTCCATCAAATAATTTTGCTGAAATACTGTTTATATTTTTGGTTTAAATGCCCATAGATCCCTCTTTGTAGTCATATTGTCGACTACTTGTAGACTTTTCTTCAAAATCAAACATATATACAAAAGGAAAATGCTACTTTTAGTGAATTCCTTGATATAGTTTGTATTATGGATTACATCAATGAAATTTGGAGCCACAGAGACCCTCTCAACGCGATATTCCTCTTACTATACAGGTCAAGCTCCTGCACAAAATCAACCACCCACACATACTCACCATGACAGGCGCGTGCGCAGAGCGCAGATGCATCGTGTTTGAGTACATGCATCATGGAAGCTTACATAACATTCTCTTCTCTTCTTCAAAGAAACCTACCCTTCAACTCCCATGGCATGCAAGAATCAGAATCATCGTCGATGTATGCTCAGCATTGGGCTTTCTCCACTCCAGCAAGCCTAGCCCAACTGTGCATGGTCGTTTGAACTCCTCGCATGTACTATTGGGCCATAATTTCACTGTCAAGATCATGGGCCTAAGCTATAATAACAACGCAAGGCCCTCATCGGATATTCTGAATCTTGGCCTACTCATACTTCAGCTTCTTACAGGTAGCTATGTTTTATATTTGGCAGAAGTTCCCAAATCAGAATATGAATCTAGATTTGAAATAATAAAGATACATTTATTTGATGTAATTTTGTAATGTAATTTCAAATTATTTTAGTCAAGTATACATGTTAATTTCGTTAACGTATTTTATAGAATTTAAATACATAGCTGGAAATTGTCTCATTGTATTAAGGCTATATAAGTTTCGGCATTTTGAATGTTTGACGTTGAAATTTTGATTTGGGATTCTAAGTCTTCAGAGCATAGAATATAATTAAATAAAGTTATATGTAAACAAATATATATTAAACAAATAAGCTGAATATGCGAATGATCACATTCAATTAATTTAAAATATGAACATCAAACAATATTGTTTTCGAATTTGAACTATAATAGTTAGATGAATAATATCGAACTATTTTTTAATTATTGGATAATTTTCATCCGCATTTACAGGAAACGAGGAAATTGGCTTGCAAGAGGTGAGTCAAGCAATTGAAGAAGATACACTAGCAGGAAATTTGGATGAAAGAGCAGGAGACTGGCCTTTAGATATTGCAATGGAGTTTGCAAAAATTGGTTTGCAGTGTTGTGAAAATGAGGCTAGATATGAGGAAAATGTTGCAGTGTTGATAGGAGAGATAATGAACCTGCAAGCTAAGGCAGAGAGTAGAACGCTGCAAGGGGGAGAAAAGATAAGATCGATTGATGTGCCTGATGTTTTCCTCTGTCCAATCTTTCAGGTTTGTCATGCATCATCAATTCTACTATTATAACTAAAATCCCGTAATTTTTTTTATTAAAGTTCGACAATATTATTGAAGTAATCATAACAACCAACATTTATGGAACCTTCAATATTTGTACATGTATGCTGATCAAACTTTATTTACACCGATTAAGTCAACACGACTACCAAATGTCAGTGAACTCCATCATCCCGTGGGCTAATTAAACTCTTATCACCTCTTCCGAAATCATCATATATACCTCATATTGAGAATCAAGTTAGCATAAAAAGGGTTAAACTATTAGATATAAAACTAACTTTCTATTTAAAATTTAGAACCCCTATCATCTAAATCTTTCAGGATCATCTATCACCTCGCAACTCTTTTGGTAGCACTTATCACCTGAATTTTGAGAAGGATATATTGCAGGCAACCCTTTATTTTTTCTTTCATAAACTCTTATACAATCCTTAACATAGACAGATAAGAGTAATCACTAGAAATTTAGTTGTCATTGTGATTGTAAAGTCTGAAACTTAATTAATTTATG